TGCAATAAGCGGACACTTTGTTGTCACCATCGGAAGCTCGAAGGACGGCCGAACGTCCACTATTTAAGCTACAGTCTATGGATTTACATTAGGTTAAAATCTCAACTCAGCTTTGTGGCCAAATCTACTAAACTACTATCACCAAATGTGACCATGTCAGGAGAAAAACGGAGAAGAAGTGCAATTGTGGACACAGACAAGTGTTGGAGCATAGATTGCGTTCGTTGAAGAATTATTCAGCCTTTCATCAGACTCTATAAAGAATATATATTTTTTTAAATGATCAGCGTGACGAGCTGCGTCGATTTATGTCCGTCTGTCTGTTTATATGCGACTAGGCCAACAGTTTTTGAGATATCGATCTTTTCATTTAAATATCCTTTTTTCACCAAGAAGCGGTTCATTTGTCGGAATCGCTGATATGGGACCACTATAGGACATCTATTATATAAACTGATCGCTCAAAACCAAGTAAAGTATTTTTATTTTTCTAGATATCTTTACGAAATTTGGTATGGATTATTAATCTAAGACAACGTTATCTCCGAATATATTTTTCACAGCAGACTACTGCAGCTGCCACACAAAGTGACGCATAAAAATTAAGTTCTTGTATGGGACATTTTTTATTCACAACCGTTTTTTTATTTTTGAAGGGTGTTGTAGTTACAGTGTAACCGATTTTTGTTTTTTTTTGTTTTAAGATATGTACCTACATATATAGCGTATATATCATATTATGTATGTAATATATGATAGCAAAATTAAGCGAATGTCCAACATTGGATATGTTTTAGTTTGTAGCCAAAAATGCACAGTCCCATATACCGCATAAAATTATTTTCGTTATTCTTTTGAACGTTATGACGAATATATCGAATGTATGAATTATATGCCTAAAATTGAGTGGAATACGTTCCCAAGCACGCTTTAGTCTAATGACTAAAGTAAATTTCATTAGTCCAGCCGTCCTCCTTGTCACAATATAAGCAATATAGTGAGTTTTGACTAACCGCTTGACACTATTATGTATATGTCATATGTTCGTTATTTAACTATATTAAATAGATATATTTTCTTGGCCACAATGTGGTTTAGCGCTGAATATGAATGAAATCAGAAAAATGAAAATGTGACGTAGATTTGCCCACTAAAAAAATTAGGTCGCCTTTTTTATTAAATAAAAAAAAACTTTTATGTTGCACAATTATATTTATTAGCTTAACAAACGGATTCTCAAAGATTTTGAGCATTGGTTTGACCCCACAACTATTCTGTTACGATTCCGGCAAGTTTCGTGGGTTGTTGTAGTTAAAATTTACGTAACCGTTCTGTTTTTAGCCACAAAAGAGTTTTCTGAACCACTCGATGAAACTTATTTTTTATTGTATAAGCAATATGGTACATACAGTAAAATATTTATATTAATTCAGTTTTCTGATATACCATAGTATGATAGTCGCACACTCTGCTAAAATTTCCTCGTTAAATCTTGATATATGTATAATATGTAAAAGACTGCTAAATAGTAAAAGTGTAAAGTTAATTAGTAATTGAGGGCTAAATTTTTTTATTTAAAAAAAACTTAATAAAATATTTCTTGATTCTTCAGTAATTTTGTGAATCAGAACTATGTTGACCTTCATGAATGTACGGACGTCTAGATTCACATTTCTCAAGTAAGCTTATATATCGAATAGAAATAAAAAACACATTCATTAAGTCATAACAAAAATCACGAAAAATTAAATAAAATGTCGAAACAAATTCGAAATAACTTAAGTACCTTAAGCTGACGCTCCATTTACTTTCCACCACCAAATATAATGAGGTGACATAGAATAGCGGAGGAGGAGCCTCTATATTGTATTATTGTACCAAATTACAGTTTTTCCCTTATTTAACCCTTAGTTTTAACCCAATTATCTTTCTGCTCAAACACTACATGTTATAGGGCTTAAAATTCAAATATGTATATTTCGGAAAACTATCCAACTGGTTAGAAGTGGTTTAAAATACAAAATGCACTCGTAAAACAACATCTTGTAAGTACTTGATTCAGAAATGAAGTAGGCTTTAAAATTTTTTTTCGAATACTATAAGGGTCTCTTTTTTCTACAAGCAGTCGACCTTCCGAGTACAATGCCAATCCTTGAAGAGTTTTGTTAATTTGAGAAAGATCGCCTACAATTTATTATACGTCAGGAAGGGGATCCAAACATATATAATATAACACATAATATAGATCATATGCTGGTCAAGCCATTATTTTTATAAAATTATTTAAAATTTAAAATCTTTCGTTGACAAAATTGTAACAAAGTTATTCATATCCTCAACTTAACTTACCGAATAAGGTAATTATAACAAAGTCTTACCTTGGGGAAAGTACAAGAATATACCAATTTCAATCATATTTAGTACTAAACCACATTATGTCTAAGAAAACATATCCACTTTATTTTACTAACATAAACGGATTAAAGTCAGGTGGAAGTTCTGGACTGATGGTACTAACTTGTAACATTACTGAATTATACTCGAAGACATGTTTGCTCGTAATTTTAGGCATATACATAACTCACACACTGACCGACATATTTGGCATCTGCTAGAATAGCCAAAATTATTATATGTAGTATATAGGACTTTGTAGACCAATTGTGATCCGGCAATCAATTATAGTATATCCTGTATTATACGTTCACCATATCCAACCGGAACTAAAATTATTATAATAGGTATGTACGGGGCTACGGGTACTATTGACCGGATTTTGTCCGTTTTTTTGGCATAACGATATATTATTATTAGAAAGTCTACCGAATTTTTGAAAATTTTTATATTAGGTACACAAGAGCTAGGGGAAGCACTGACCCGATTGTATCCATTTATAACACAAGGGCACATTATTTCCGGAAAACGATTCTCTCTGAATTTTAATAATATATCTCACAGATTGACCGATATTTTCGGTTAAAAGTCAGCCGAACGGTTATACTCTCATGTTGCAATGGTATACATATTGTAGACCATCAGCTTGTGCCCATTTCATTGGTTTCCTTAAAATTGCTAATGTTATAACTTCATATGGAATACCCCTTGAAAAGTTAAATTAGATAGAATGGTTAATAAAGTATAGATATTTTTCCTACGTCGTGATTCCTACTGTTTTATCCACTCATTTTTATGGGAACGCTCAAATAAATGTGTCGATACGTATTCATTTAGACTTATATTTAAAGGTTTCAATAGTACTAATCTACCTACTAAATAATAAAAATGTTTGAAATACTTGCTCGATATATGATTGTGGTGTATCACATATGCTGTATTTTGAATGGAACGTTGATGAAGAAGCCTTTCGGGAAAGCGGAAACCCTTTGCACAGTAAACGCTTTACATATTAACGCAGTTGTGATTTTCAACGAAGCCTCAATGCAAAATGCGTAAAGCCTTACTTGCACAGATATTTATGAACTTATGGAAGTGTGTATGCGAAATAATTTGCATTTACCATATGTATAAGTAAATATGCCGTCCGTATTATCGCTCATTTAATGATCACATTTGCGAAGGACTGAGTTGTCATCAGCAAGCATTGTTGGATTTATGAATACACTGAAAAAATTAGTTACGTATCAGCTTCATATTGATGCGTGTTCAATTATGCATACTTACATATATAAATACATGAAACTCTGTGTCGATCTTAAAATCGATAATTTATACTGCAGTTAATTATATTAATAAATAATTACATTAGACGAGGGCACGAAAAATATGTAAGAAAACCAAGACAAAATGTTAACTTCGGCTGCGCCGAAGCTTTAATACCCTTCACAGGTGCATTTTTATATATACAAATACCTTTATTTTGATTTTGATCGAAGAGTTTGAATGACAAGTAATTGCTATAGTGGTCCGATCTGAACAATGTGTTCGGAGCTTGCAGCAATGCTTTGGCTAATAAAATACTCCACATTTCGGTGAAGACATTTTGTGAAGTAAAAAAGTTTTCCCTACATGGACTTTAGTTCGATCGGAGGCTGTAGGATGAAGTTGTCTGACCTCAGCAATTTCTTCGGAGATTGCAGCGATGTCTTGAGTAATAATATGTGCCAAATTTCGTGAAGATATTTTGTCAAAAAAAAGTTTTCCAAACAAGGACTTGAGACTTGAGTTTGATCGGTTAGTTTGTATTAAAACTATATGCTGTAGTTGTCCGATGAGAAAAGGACGTATACAATTTCAGACTGATATCTCGAAAATTGAGGGACAGACGAACAGACAGATGTGGCTAAATCGACTCAGCTCGTCACACTGATCATATATATATGTATATATATTTATATATATATATTTTATAAGATCTCCTACGTTTCCTTTAGGGTGTTAAAAACACCGTGGCAAAATAAATATACCCGATTCAGGGTATTGTTACTAGGTTCAGATAGAGATTATTATATAAGTTTAGTCTTAAGCTTCAGTGTAGTCGTGCAACATTCATTTGCATGGTTATACGAAAAGTGCATTTCCTGAGCATTTGTCGCTGCTACCGGAAATTGTTGCGTTGCACAATCAACGATACTCTTGCATAAGTATTTGAGTGAAACAGTTTCATATGTGAGAATAATATGTCATCCTTTAACCCCCCAAAACTTTTGGTGTTATCAATTCCTCAATTCAGCTGAAATGTGAGACTCTGTTCACTCTTTATCAGAAACATCAGGTTAGAATCTATATTTAGTAATATTTGTATTAAGATTTATAACATCACAAAATCTTGAAACTTCTTTGAAAATAAATTTAAGAATTTAGGAACCAAATTTAATATTAAACTATACTCTCGTGTTTACAATATAAATGGATATCTTAGTTCCTACTTTTTCTGACTAGAAAGCTGAGCTGAAATGTGGCGGTTTTGTAGGAAGAACAAAACACTGCGATACTTACACTCGCGTTTAACGTTACAATGAAAATGCATTATTTTTATTACGGATAAGATTTTATTTACACCCAATGTAACTTTTTTAAGTATTTTAATAAAGACAGCCATGCGGAAACGATGTCGAACGAAATCATAGGGTGCTGCCACTGGATCGAGTTCTGATGAAAAAAGACGCGTGAGCAGCGATTTTCAAGTCTAATCCTTTGTTTCCAAATTAAACTAAATTTTAATTTTAGCCTTGTTTTTTATACTCAAAATCATTTTGGTTGAAATTATTGGCCAGAAAGCTAAGCCTGCAACATATTTAATGGAATACATATAAAAAGGAGTACTACTAAAACGTTGATAATATATACAATAATATGAATATCTTTAGGGGTTCCTTGGAACCAATTTCATCCAGAAGCGTTCTTTCGGTATTAAGGTGAATCCGGAAATGGACTCCATTATGTTTTCGCATGTCTTCTCTGTCCGCATAATTTTGAAATTCAAGATAATATGGTAAATAATTGCTTTGACTTCCATCAGTGCCAGCCGATTTCCTGATAAGCATGATAAATATTCAAGGAAATTGCCTATTGTTGATGATATTTTATCATAACATATTTTCTTACCTATACACATTCTGGGACCCACACCAAAGGGTAAATAGCTCATTGGATTAATTTTACTTTTATTTTCATCGGAAAATCGTTCGGGGTCAAACTGGTTCGGATTAGAATAGTATTCGCGATGACGATGAATGCCAATTATGGGTACAAATATATTGTCTCCTTTTTTAATTTCAGCAATGAAACTTCCTTCGTCATCCTTAAGTTTTTAATCGGCGGAACAAATACGATCTGTTATGATTGCTGGGGGCCATTTACGTAAAGACTCCGATATAACCATATCCGTATAGCTCATCTTCATAAGTGTATCGTAGTGTAAGGCGTTTCTGTCCAGTGACTTTTGCGTATCCAAAATCTCTACGTAAAGTTTATTTTGAATTTCGGGGTTTTCGAGCAACTCATGCGCTGTGAAACACAAACAAGCGGATACGGTTTCAAATCCGGCAACGAAGAACAGCGTACACTGAGCTAAAAGGTCTTCATTAGTTAATTCAGCATTTTCTCCCTCCAAATCCGATGTTTTTCTTTGTAGTGCTGCTTAGCTTCCATCAAAAGGTGTATCATATCGGGGCGTACAATATTGTGTTCTTTTCGGTATTTCATTCCATCGATTACCAAGTGGTTGAAGTAATTAAGAATTTTGCCGTCAAACAGTTTTATACGTAACACCTGAAAGACAGAACCAAGAGCTATAATTAACCAACATTTTCAAAATATGAGGAACCCACCTTCATCACTTTTGGAATAAGTCCAAATAAGATAGCTTTAAATAAAATGAAACCAGTAAATTCAGTTACTGCTTTTCCTGTCTGATAGAACTCATTGTTTCGATCATTGAATGAATTAATTCGTATGCCGAATGCCGTGGATGCAATAGCGTCATTTGTGAATCTTGTAAAAAAATCTTTCATTTCGACGTCCACCTCATTATTGCCACTCGCTTGAATCTCACTGGTGATGTAGTTAACCGCTTTAATCACACATTCGTTGACCAGCATAAACATCAAACGCATTTTGCTTCCAGTGAACGCGGGTGACAAACAATTTCGCATTTCCCGCCACTTTTGGTCTTTCAAAACGATCAAACTTGGGAATGAATCAAAGTCTTTTATTACCACCTTTTTGATGAGTTCCAAGTCACGAATGTGAATTTTGCAATCACGCATCGAATAAATTCCATAAATTGTACTGCAAATAATTAAAAACACTTTATGACATGTGACAGTTTTCAAACTATCCATAGTGTTATTAATAATATTGGAAGAATTACGTATATATTAATAAGGCTAGATCGGTTTATAAAACTATTTCTCGAATTTCCATATTCCAGCCCAATTTTTTGTCTGAAATACATATGTTATATGGTATAAAGTCAACTTAGAGTTCGAAAAATCTTTATATGAGGTATATGCGATTTTACCTCTTTTCGGTACAAGGGCACACAGTTATGAGGACTACATTTTTTTTGAATTTGAACAATACAAGTATATCTCAAAAATTTAGCTGTATTTTAGGTAAAATATCATCTATAATCTTGAATAGTTATGATCCCATTTCGACAGTTTTTGGACGTAGATGCCATGCTCCATTCTTTATACAAAGTTTTATTCCGATATCTCATTGGGGACTATATGAGGAGTGGGCATTTTCACACTGTCGGAGGAGGTCTCGAAAATATTTGTCCTGTGCGATTTGGGTTGATATAACGGGTGTTTTTTCAGACGTGTAGTTTTCAATGAGGTAATTCTTTTTTTGAGTTGATCTTTTTAACAGTTGTTACTTAATTTATACTCAGTTTGGTTTGCCATATTATAATGAACAGACTACTCGAATAACAATTTTACACTTCGGGTAAATTTTTTACCAACAACACTACTGCTGTTGTGGTATGCTGTTTGAGGGCTTAAAAAATCCAACTCGAGCATTAATTAAAGCCGAACGACCATCAAGCGCGAGGGAGGTTCGGTGAACGAACAAGGAATTGTCACTGTTTGGAGTGCTTTATAGGCTTAGGGATTTATATTTCCACATTACTTCAAAAATTAAGCCGGCCATAATTTTACAGTCAATGAGGGACGCTACTGAGCTATAATAATTGACTTTTTCGTGCCGAAGGATGTTGATGTGGACGACCTTTAGTTCCAACAAGATAGCGCTACATGCCATATATCCTACGAAACGATCAATTTATTGGAAGAAACTTTTGGTGAACGCATTATCTCGCGTCGTATGCCTGTGGCGTGGCCTCTAAGATCATGCGCTTTAACTCCGTTGGACTATTTTTTGTGGAGTCTTCTAGTCGCTTATCTACGCAGATAAACCCGAGACGATTGACGCCTTTAAAGAGAATATTCGACGCATTATTGCTGACATACGGCTCCAATGGCTGCAAAAACCGTCCGAAAATTTGGCCTCTCGGCAGGAATTTATTCGAGCCAGTTGGGGCCTCAAATCATTTTTCAAACATAATGGTAAACCCTTATCTGTATAATAAAGCTAAATTCTTGGCCATAATATAAAATTATATGTGTTTTATTTCTTCTTGAAAACCACATGCCTAACAAAACGTCCTTTTACCTTGAGTGTTTTGGGAGGTATGTATATTAAAGTTATTAATCGGCGGGACCACATCCTATTTTTAAAGATTTGTAATCCCAATTCAATTTCAACTCGTCTCGTCGTCCTGATAATTTATAAATGTATAATTCTTCATTAGTTTCGATTAGTTTTAGGTGTTAGAAACAACCGTTCGGTTAACAAATCTAAAACATGTTGCAAGAGTATAAAAACATTATGAATTAGGTGTAAGTCAAATTTCAATTGCGGGAAAAGTTTCACTGAAATGCAATAATGTCGGAAGAAAAAAATATTAATATTACTTTCATCAAGAGGCGGCACCGGAGCTGATTTTCTCGCAGGGGTTGTATCGTTTACAAACAGAGAGAAGTATAAATAATTACATATATATTTTTTATCGCTGTTGATGTTATAGTCAAACAAATAGAACATTTGTCTATAAACTCACCTGCTTTTAAAAGCTTGATATCGATCGATAATAAATTTTATAAAAGATGATTTTCCCATGAAAATTTTAGTGTCAATCAAAGGAGTTGGCTGGTCGTGCGGTATCCCCCGATCACGAAAAATGTGATATTTAGAAACACTCCATTTGTAAAACAAAAACACAACAACAGCCAAAAGAATTAGTACTTCTACGAGAGCCATCACTGAGTATGCAAGTAATTTTTAACGATAAAACGATAGAAGCTTTATGAACACCGCAGGGATCGAGATATATTGACTTAATAAATATTGTTATTGACATATTTCACAATTTATACAGTAATCACGAACACAGCCGACCTTTATCGCTACTAGGTGCTCTTACTCAACTACAAGCTAGTTAAATAGAGAGCGATTTTGATGAAATAATTCCAGATGAATGACGTCCTAACTTATGAAGAGAGAGACAATACAAAAATGCAATAACTGAAGAACATTACGTATGTGATTATTATTTGATATATGATTTCTATCTTTGTTCAAATACCTTTGAACATGCTTATCAATGATAATGATGAAGCAGTACAAAACGTACATACATACATAAACAAACACATAAAATTATGTGCATTTACTTGCAATAGGGACGCATACAAAATTAAATGTATGCATTGATAAAATAGTGTTTCTAAAAATACATTTATGTATGCACTATAATTACAATATTTGAAAACAACGCTAACATATCGTAAACTAAATATGTACACATAAATGTATTGTAAACTCATACCAAATAACACAGATTACATATATGGTATATGTACACACGAACATGCATTGAGTTGTACAATTAACAAGAAAAAACGTTAACTACATTTGCACCGAAGCTATAATACCCCTCACAAATACAAAGGTTTCTTACAAGAACTGGATTCCGTTCGTTCAATTTGTATGGCAACTATATGATATAGTGATCTGATCTGAACAATTGCTTCAGAGTTTGTATGGCAGCTATATGCTATAGTGGTCCGATATCGGCCGTTACAACAAATGAGCAGCTTATTAGAGAGGAAAAGACAGGTGCAAAATTTCAGATCGATAGACTGAGAGACTGGTTCGTATATACACAGACAGACAGACGGACTTTGTATCTTATTAAGTTATACTATAGGTCATATAACATACTCACTTAGTTTTATTACTATATCTTACTTCGCGTCAGCTAAAATTGTATAAAAATTATCTTCAAATGAGATATATGGGATCTAAACTCATTGAGATTGCTGAGTTATACTTGAGATTCCAGTAATTTTATAAAATAAATATATAGCTCACACATTGAACGACATGTTCGGCATAAGGTTTGTTAGAATAACGAGAATCAATATACATATGTATGTATGTATGTAGTATTTTGGGAGTTATATATATATATACGACATATTGATCGATAATATATATATTATAAATATTATCCGTTAAACTATGGTATATCCAATATTATACGTTCGCTTAATTTTGTTAGGATATTTACATATTGACTGATATATATGGCATAAGGCCAAACGAAAGTTTGAAAATCTTATATTAAGTATATGAAAGGCTGGGGTAATATTGAACCGATTTTATCTATTTTTGGCAATGCAACATACTATTAACAGAATTACCTCCCTGAGTTTCATTGAGGTACCTCACATAATATCACCAACATACATATGTGGAGTAAAAATAACCGAATGTTTGAAAATTCTGTGATTTGTTATATGAGGGAAAGTTTTCACCCGATTTTACTTATTTTAGGCACAAATATGAAGCATTATAAGGAAACTATTCCCACTTAATCCATCCACTTAATTTTATAGAAATAGCTCACATATTAGCCTTAGCCGATATATGCGGTATGAAGTAAACGGGAAGTTCGAAAATATTTCGATAAGGTATATGGAGGCTTGAACAGTTATGGTTCGATTTTGACAATTTTTAGACTTGAGATGGTATACCTCAAAAGACTATTTGTGCAAAGTCTTGTCCTAATATATTGTTTGCTACTTGATTTTTATACTGGAAAGAGAAAGAATCATATGTCATTTAAAAGTGTGCTAGATACGAAGTAGGCGTAGTTGTAGTCCGATTTCGCTCATTTTCTTATTGTGAGATGAGATTGTTAAAATAATTTTGTGTACTAAATTTTGTTGCTATTGATCAAGTAGTTCCGGAGATATAGGATTTCGCCTAAATGACGGAGATGCCACGCCCATCGCCCACTTTTGGTAAACAACCGTTTAACAAATTCGTTACATACGGAGTGGGCGGAGTTATCATACGATTTCATCCATTTTTACACTGTTGAAGGAAGTGTAAAAACTATTTATTCTGTGTAAATTTGGGTTATGTAGCTTGAGTGGTTTAGGAGAAATAAATATTTAACTTATAACGAGGCGGGACCGCGCCCACTTTTGAAAATTTGTTAACCAAGGGGCATATCTCCCCAATACAATGTTTTGTACCAAATTACAGGTATATATCTTATTTTAATGCTTAGTTATGGCGTTTTATAAGTTTTCGATTAATGGCGTTGTGTGAGCGTGGCAGAGGTCCAATTACGCCCATCTACGAATTCATTCTTTCTTTTTTTGCCATAGGACTCGTGTACCAAGTTTCTTTAGAGTTTCTCAATTTTTATTCAAGTTACAGTTTTCACAGACAGACAGACATTCGGATTTCAACTCGTCTCGTCATCTTGATCATTTACAAATATACATAACTCCATATCTACTCCATACCTATTATACTCTGTAGCAACATGTTGCAAGAGTATAAAAATAATTCGCTTCAGAGCATTAATGATTAAATTATATGCTTTGAGAATCTAAGATCAGAATCAATATATGTACTCGTATGTATGTATAAGTATATGATATATACACCTAGTAAGTAAAGACCGATTTGTTTTGCTGTGTTTTATCCATCCATTTTAAAAGAGAGATCAACACTTTATTTGTGTTATTGAGAAAAGTGAGTATATTAAGTAAATTTAATAAATATTAAAAACACAAACTAGTACCTAATATCATATGCAAAACTCGTACAAAAGCATTACATATATTCATAAACATATTTACAAACCACATGCTTTACATAAACAAGAGTAAATTAAAATTTAAATGGGATCTTCACTAAAGCAACTAGAATAACAATATTTAGACATATTTGTTAATTTTGACTTGTTCGACTTAAGGTTATGTGCGTGGTACAAGGCAGACCCAGAACCCGCCCATTGGATTTATTTGAAAGCCACGTATATCATCCATTATGTTTTCCACCGTTTTCGGAGAACGCTTCAACTTGAAGTCCAATATCATATAGTACATCATAGCCTTGGCTTGCATCAATGCATATCTATTACCTATATCAAAAAATAATTTTTTACTTAAGATAAGATATTATAAGATAGCATGTATATGTTTTGTAACTAACCAATGCACATTCGCGGTCCCACGCCGAAGGGCAAGTACGTAAAGGGTTTAATATAGTCTTTGTTTGCATCACTGAAGCGTTCAGGATTAAATGCTTCGGGATCTTCGAAGTACTTTTCATTATAGTGTAGACCAATGATGGGAAACCACACATAGTCATCAGCCTTAAATTTAAATACCACGTTTCCTTCATCATCAGTGAGGTCGTAATCCTTAGAGCACAAGCGATCTGTAAAACCGGCAAGATTCCATTTACGTAATGTTTCCGAAGTGACCATGTCCATGTACTTCATTTTCATCACTGCCTCGTAAGTTAAATGTTGCCCATTAAGTTCCTCACGCACTTCTAGTGCCTCTTCGTACAAACGTTCTTGTACTTCAGGATTTTCCATTAGCTCATGACAGATTACCGAGGTGAAATTGGCATTATTTTCAAAAGCGGCGAAAAAGAAAATGAAGCATTGTGCTACAATGTCGTCGTCGGACCAGTTTTGGTCAGACTCCTCTTTGGCTTCAATCAATAACTGGATCATATCCGGTCTATGGATTTTATTCTCTTGTCGAAAATTCATTGTATCAATAACTAGTCGTTTGAAGTAATCCGTTTTATCGGTATCAAATATTTTATACCCCAGGATCTGTAGATGAAATGTAATTGCAATAAAAATTGCATATGTATTACTGAATTTTTTTAGAGTATTCGAAACAAATACCTTTTGTACAAAGGGCATTGTATTGGAAACAAAGAATTTGAGCATTTGTTTGCCACGAAAATTCGAAATCGACTGTCCGATCATGTAGAACTCATTGTTTTTATCCTCGTATGAATTGATCTTCAGACCAAATGCAGTCGAGGCGATAATATCATTTGACAAGCGCGTAAACCAACCTTTGAGTTCTATATCGTGACTCTTACCACCTTTTGTCGCATCGCGTAGCCGACCCAAACATTCATTCAGACATTCGTTCATCAAACTAAACATGGCACGCATCTTGGCGGCGGTAAATATCGGTGATAGTGTGTTGCGCATGTTTTTCCACCGCTGATCCTTCATTACAGTCAGCATTCCGTTAATAAGAGGATCGTCGTCGGCTTTAAAGAATGGTGTGTGGTTTACGAAGAAATCAAAGTCTTTTACAGTCATATTTTTAATATAATCGGGATTTTGTACCACGAATACGGGAGAACGAAAATTGTAGAAGCCGACAATATCGCTGCAAAATAAATAGGTTTGCCTTTAAATACATTGCTTAGGGATAAAAATAGTTATATTAAAATAAAAAAGAGGAACTCGTATTAAATATTTATATTGAACTGTCTGTTCCAATTAGTACGAGTATTTCAAAGAATACTTTCTCATAACTAAAAATATAAATAGTAGAAATTAAATCGATAGTTGGTGAAGTTATATATCTTGTAAGTAGGAACAATGTTTTAATTTATACAACAAAAAATAACAATAACAAATAAGGAAAGGCTAAGTTCGGGTGTGACCGAACATTTCATACTCTTGCAACTTGCAAGGGTTAAAGTCGGGAAAATTCGTTTAGGTGCTGGCAAAGCTTCATACTAAAAAATGTTGCGAAATAATTCAACATTCATTATTTATATATAAGTATATATTTAAATCATGTTCAGATGACATATAACTGACATAAACTCAGCCGAAGAGGCTAAATTTAATATATTAATTTGACGCGCAAAACGTTAATCAGAAGATCGGAATTGATGATATTAGGGATATGAGGTTAAGATCAAGGTCTACACCAACTTTATTCACGTTCAGCGCTAAACCATTGATATAATAAGGTTTGTTAAAATAATAGAAATTATTATATTTTCGGTATTAAACTAAAGTATATTCAATATTATACGTTCAGTTAATTTTGTTTTGTTATTACTTCATAGTATTAACAGAAAAATGTGCTTTCTGAGTTTCATTAAGGTACTTCATATATCATCAAAAATACAGGAGTAAACTCAACTAAATGTTT